CTGAGCACTTCCCCCAGGGGAACTAGTGGAGCGGTTGACAGCCGAACCCCTGGACCCATGCTGGCCCATCAGAGGCCTGACCTACTATGCCTCAGTTTCTGTGTCTGTGAAATGGACATCAGAATAGCACCTGCTTTGTGACCTCCTTGTGAGGGTTAAATCAGTCATACATGTGAATCCTTAGAACAGTGCCTGGCACAGAAAAACCGCTATTCAGGTGTGGCTGTTGGGATCATAGTGTGAAGGGTTTATTGTATTGACCTGTGATTCTCCCAAAGCTCAGGGTAAACTTCAGTTAGTGACCTAGTATTAAGAATGGGGTCCAACTAGGGCAGTGGGAGGGGAGAAGGGCTGAGCCTGAGGAGAGGGGGAGCAGACAGCCCCTTTGTCTTGCAGGTTCTCTCCAGTCCCTCTGCTTTGCTTTCCTTGCTCCACACCTGCTAATATGGACCAGCAGAAGAATACAGAAAATCTAAGGAAGGCGATGTTAAACATGGGGTAAAAATACTAAGTAGGGGTGGGGTACAAACTATGAAAAAGAAGGTAACACTGCAATGTGGAGTTCAAGGCAAGGACTAGCCTTTTTAAAGAAGAAAATTAGCATTTTTATACTGGGAAATTGAGATAAAAGCAGATTATGAGAAATAAAATTAGGGAAAGAGGAGTTTACATATTTAAATGGAGTGAGATATTTTATAAAAACTAAAGGAATGATAAAATAAAGTCCAAAAATAATAAATGAAGGAGAAAGATAGTGGCTGGCCTGGCTGCACTTCCTGAGCTCCAGTAATTAAGACACTCTGTGTATCTTTTCAGTTATCCCTGTCCACACCCCTAGGACCCAGCATCGTTTTGCATGACAAAAGGAAATCTTAGGAAGGTTAAGTCCCTTGTTAGAAAGTCACCAAGCTGATTTCATGGCCTGAATTCTTGACCACCTCATTATACCAAATGGCTGGACCTTAATCAAACAAGGGAATGGCAAAACTCAAACAGCTCCCAGTGCTGAAAGCTTTCTTGTGCTGAGAGCCCTGAGACAGGGTTCTTCAGGGTTCAAGAGGAGTGTCTTGGGGGAGGAGAGAAGAGGGTACAGGAAGTGAAGACCCCACTCTTGGCTTCTGAAAGCCACTCTGAAACCATGTGCTTGGCTTGAGGCGAGATACGAGCACTAAATCGACATTGGACTGAGCAGTTGGGCCAACAGGACCAAGTAGGGAACGTAAACATGTCAAACACCCAAGCAGGAGAAATGCCACAGCATAAGCTCAACAATCAGTGGCAGCTACAGTGGGCCTCAGGGTTAGAGAGGCAATACAGAGCCGTGGGAACCAGGACAAATTGACAAGCACTTGCCCCATCAAAGGTTTAAGTGCTACAGCTGATAGTTGCATGAAGAACTGCGGATTCACCATTGCCAATATTCTAAATTTTCAAGAGAATTTGGAAATTGGGAATTTCATGAAAGATCACCTGATTTTTAAATGTCAGAAACTTACTTAAAAATTTAAAACATGTGTCTGCCAACACTGTGTAAGCCAGATGTACTGAAAATCCATGCCCTAGGCAGCCTCTTGGGATTATGTCATCTGCCATTGACGTTTGGATTGCTTCCGCCTTTTAGCTTGTAGAGCTTTTCGGAGGGAAAGTTTTGACTCTGAAAAAGAGAAATAAATCAGGTTCACTTGTTAGGATTACTAACACAGTGGTGGGGGTGGGCAGGACCATTAATGGGTTAAAAATATGTAGGAGACAGAATCTACCCGGAAGCACATTTGAGAAGGAGATGGTGTAATCTGACAAAGTGTTTTTGCTTCTGATAACCCTGTTATATACATTATCGGTGTCTCGCTGCTTACACTGGCAGTATTTCATAGGTCCTGAGACTGCTATCAGCTGTATGTCGCTAAAGCTTTGCTGACACTTGCTTCTTAAGTGAACGTTGAGCTTCTGTGCAGTTAACCTCTGTTGCATTTTATTTTGTCTCCAAAAAGACTAGGACAAAAAGGAAGAGTGTCTTTGTGTTGTTGCTGAGGATTTCCACTCTGCCTTGGATTATCACATGGCATGTGTACTCAATAAACCTATCCAGAGTACCACTCATAAGGACATGGTGTATTTACCCCTCAGTCTTTTAACTACGCCCCTAGATGCATTCTGCACTCAACAGTATCTAGCACCTGGCCTTGTCATTGATTGTCCTCTTATATAACACTTTTGGTGACAATGTGGATCAGTGATTCCTAACCGGGAGTTCATGGGGGAGTCACTCCTGGTGCTTTGTAAAAACCCACATGCCCAGGCAGACTTCTGAGAGTAACCAAATCAGAATCCTTGGTGCCAGGGGCCTGGAATGAGCATTCTTAGTTTTATTTTGTTTTTAAGGTGTTTTCAAATAAAACTGAACTGGTAACATTCTGAACTGATTCTCAACATAAGGTTTTAAAGGGAACTTTATTTTTCCCCTTTTCACAGACACGGAATGGATTAATTTTGTAAATTCTTTCTTCACAGATTTGTAAGTGATCAAGGTAGATTTTGAATGTAGAAAGTAACATTTTCAAAGTTCCGAACATGTTTCATTATATACCATGTAATGTATATATAAATGCTTCATTCATTCAACAAATATTTACTGAGTACCTGTTTATGGGCTAGGCACTTGTCTCAAGAATTGAGGGGACAGGTCCCTTATCTTGTCTGTTATCTTGTAGAACTTCTGTTCTTCTGTTTGGATTTCATAGTCTAGAGATAACAATAGCAATCTCATGGTCTACCTACTGTTCTAGCACTTCACATATTTTGACTTATTTAATCCTTCCAACAGCCTTATGTACTAGAGACTATCATAATCCCCATTTTACAGATGAGGAAACTGAGGCAGAGAGGTAAAGTCATTTGCCTATGCCACACATCCAGTAAGTGGTATAGTGAAATGTAAAGCCAGGCAGCCTGGCTCCAGAGCCACTGGGCCTCCTTCCTCTTCTGTCACCTGGGATATCTTAGCAAACACAAAGTTTGCCTTAAGCCAGACTGCAGGCATAGACCATGCTGCATCAAAGTTCACATGATATCCTGCTAGTTCCAATGACTTAAAGTATAATTCCTTATATCTTAACTTGTAGATTTTTCCCATTTTCCTCACCATCTCTATTAATATTGGCAGGCTCTGTTATTGAATTTGCGAAGTCATCTGTTGTAATGAAGGAAACAGAGAAGAGATTTCGGACTACAGGAGAGAAAGGTCAATCTCAAAGTCAGAGATGATAAGGGAGTCAGAATCCTCTCAAAATTGAGTCTGAATCTCTCAGCTGCTCTTCCTGCATTATAACTTCATGATGATAGATGTGCTTCCATTTTCCAGCTGGGCATTACTGTGCTATCATTTTTTATTTTCCCTTTAATTTTTATGAACTGATAGTTTGAGTACCAAGGCTCTGTCTTGAATGACTCCCCGTTTCTGTGGCATGCTAGAGTTCTCTCAAAGGAGCTTCCTGCCCGCACTATCCCTGTTTTCTTCTCCAACGCATATCTAATACTCACTGCCATTAACATCACCAGCGGTGATGCTCGGACTGTATGGACAGAATTGCAAGGAGAAGTTCAGTCATGGTCATCGAGCATACCTAGTCATAGGAGAGTACAACCGATTCGCGTTTTCTTCATCTAAGTCAAAATGTCAACCCAGGCACCAGGCATTTGGTCTATCTTGGTAGAAACTTCCTGTTCTATAGCTTCATGACATCGGGGAGAGTGTGCCGATCCCCTGCCTGTTGAACCGAGCACTGCTCTCCCAGTTCTGCTGGGGTTTGGCAATGTGTTCCAGCACTGTTGGCAGGTCCTCTCGCCCCTTGGCTGTGTGCCTGGAGTCTGCATCATGAGGGCTGTTGCTGAGGGAATCGTCCTTGGCCCCTCCAGCTGTTCCAGTGCTATAGCCCACTTGGCACAGGGGCTATTCTGCTTCTCCACCTACTCCAGCGGGGCCGGTTCCTGAGAGGTGTCTGCTGATGGATGCCAGTCCTATTCCACTCGCAGAAACAGAGGCATGTTTAACAAACCCCACATGTGACTCTCAGCCACACACTCCTAGTTAAGAACCATGGTATAGACGTGCTCATTTAGTCCAGCAGCCCTTTATTCCTGATGCTCAGCTTGCTTCCAATTGTTCTCTGTTAAATAATGCAGCAGTGTGCATATTTGTGGTTAAGTCTCTGTCCTTGTTTCTGGGGTAAATTCTTAGAGGTTGAATTTTAAAGTTCAAAGGACAGGCATATATCTATTTTAAAGCCTCACCCGAGGATATATTTTTATTGATTTTTTTAGAGACAGGAAGGGACAGAGAGAGTGAGAGGGAGAGAGAAACATCAATCAGTTGTCTCCCACATGCGCCCTGACTGGGGATTGAACCCACAACCTAGGTATGTGCCCTGAATGAGACTCAAACCCGCATCCTTTTGGTGTATAGGACGACGTTCCAACCAACTGAGCCACCTGGCCAAGGCAAAGTACAGGCATATTTTTAAGGTGATATGTGAAGCAATGTGGCTAGTACTACGTGAAAGTGTGTAGTGGAGAGAGTATGGGGTCAGGTAGGGCTTTGGGCAAGTTGTTTGGTTTCGTTTCTCTTCCTTTGGTTTCATTTTCTTCTTTTGTAAAATGAGCCCTGTTATGAATCTGCACAGAAGCAATGGTGTGGACGTTACTTGGTCTCTCAGCCCTGCAGGTAGGTCTATAAAATGAAGGCACACCTGCTGTAGTCCATGGGGCATAAAGGCAGGCTTCCCTTTATGCAACGTGATGGCTTACTTGAGAACTGCTTCAGGATTTCAAAGAAGCTATTGCTGTCCCATATTATAAGAGAAGAAAATCTAGATTACTCTCTGGAGTCTAGTTTATTTTTAGGCGTCTGATACAGATCAAAGAGACTTTCCCCACATAGATGCCATGGGTGTGGTTCCAAAGCTGATTACTGCAATATTAATTTCACTCTTGAATCGTTACAGGGAAACTGTATGGCGACGTTCCTTTTGTAGAAGAAAGACACAGACATCGATATGAGGTATGCTTTCACGCTGAATTACTGTGGAATGTAGATGCTTAGTGCAAGGAACCCCAGTGATTACGAGTGGGCCTCTGGACAAGAGTTGGGGAGATGGACTCCCATGGGCTCAGTGGGGGTAGAGTAGATACCAGAACAAGCCCAGGGTTCTGTTTTGAGGGAGGACTGGTGGGAATTGCTGCTGAGTAGGCTACCAACAATGGACAATGATTGGCTGAGCGTAGGCCATTTTTGTTCTTATTTCCATCAGGAACTAGCCTAATAAGTGGGATAAAAACTATTGATCTGCTTTGCCTAAGTGGTGGCTAGAAGGTGTAAGAACTACTATGTACACAATAGAATGGCCATTCATTCCTTCATACTTATTTTGCATCTAATATGCACTGGAGATGAAAGTAGCAAAGACACACATGGTCTTTCTCCTATTGGGGAGCTTACATTCTAATTGGAGAAGACAAAAATAAGATAACAAATAAAAATAATTACAGATTAAATAATATATATCAGGCAAGGCACTTGTATTTAGACTACAGTATATAAAGAATTCCTAGAACTTAACAATAAATAATGGCAAAAGATCTAAATAGACATCATTTGCCATCAAGGAAATGCAAATCAAAACCACAGAGAGGTACCACTTGACACCCATTAAGATGGCTATAATCAAAAGATGGATAATAACAAGTGTTGGTGAGGATGTGGAGTAATTGGAACTCTCAGACGTTGCTGGTGGGAATATAAAATGGAGCAGCTTTGGAAAAGAATCTGACAGTTCCTCAAAAGTTTGAACATAGAGTTACTGTATGACCCAGCAATTCCACTTCTATGAAATTAACCAAGAGAAATGAAAACATACATCCACACAAAAGCTTGTACACAAATGGTTATAGTAGCATTATTCATAATAGCCAAAAAAGGTGGAAACAACACAAAATGTCTATGAACTAATGAACAAAAAATTAAATGTGACATAACCATACAATGGAATATTATTTTGACAATAAAAAGAAATGAAATGTTGGTACATACTACAACATAGATGAACCTAGAAAACATGCTAATTGAAAGAAACTAGTCACAAAATACCAAATACTGTGTGATTCTATTACATGAAGTGCCCAGAATAGGCAAATCTAAAGAGAAAAAATGTGGATTAGTGGTTGCTAGGGCTGATGGGTGATGAAGGGGGTTGGAAGATGATGGTTAGAGAGTGCAGAGTATATTTTTGGATTGATTGTGGTGATGGTTGAATCCTGTGGGAATGTACTAAAAACCACTGAGTTGTACAGTCTTAATGGGTGAATTGTAAGGCATATGAATTATATCTCAATAAAGCTGTTTCAAAAAGAACAAAGTTTACAAATTTGAGAAGTAACCTAATGTTAAAAAAGAAAATAAAAGCATATGTGGTTAAGATTGAGAAGGATGGGGGGGGGGGACCCCACCTTGGTTTTAGATGAGAAAGTGCTTTTTGTGAAGGAGAGGCTGAAAAGCTTGGGAAAAAGCTAGTGATGAGACGAGTGAGGGAAGGGGCCATGAGCCTCTTCATCAAGTTGTCATCTATAAGCAGTATTTTATTTTTTAAAAAGATCTTATTTATTTTTAGAGAGAGGGGAAAGGAAGGAGAAAGAGAGGGAGAGAAACTTTGATGTGCAAGAGATACGTTGATCAGTTGTCTCTCATACCCCGCCAACTGGGACCTGGCCAGCAACCCAGGCATGTGCCCTGACTGGGATTCACACCATCAACTTTTCTGTTCACAAGCCATCACTCAATCTACTGAGCCACACCAGCCAGGGCTATAAGTAGTATTTTGCTAGAAAACTTGCTCCAAGGTTCTTTTTACAACTTTTATGTAACTATATATAAAGAAAACATTGGGGTTAGTCACAAGGTAAATAAGATAGTTTCAGTCCTCAAGCAGATTTGTGATTTGGGGAGAGAGAGTTAATTTTACACATAACTCAAAGCAAGAGGCAAATATGAGAATGGGTATAAATAGCTGATCTCAAGGTCCCAAGTCAAAATGTCTGTGTCACAGTCCTACTTTACGAATCTCATCTTGGGGGAGAGAAAGTGGGCCTCCCAAATTTAAGAGCTGATTAGACTATTTCTCAGATTCATCATGAATTTAAAAATTGGCTTTAGGGGCTGAATATAGAAATTAACTACTAGTTAGAGCATCACCGAAATAGAAAACCCACCCAGTTGATGGAAGGCCTTTTAGTAAGCTGATATGTCTGTATTGCCCTGCTGCACAAAGACATTTAATTTCTTGTTTCTACAGGTGAACCCCAGCCTGATCAATCAATTTGAGCAGAGCGACTTAAGTTTTGTAGGTCAGGATGTGGATGGGGAGAGGATGGAAATCATTGAACTGGCAAGTAAGTGAGCTCTTCATTTTTCAAAATTTTTGTGTTGAGCTAACATGTTTTTGTTGACTGTAGACATATGAAGCTGTAACTTGAGACCCATTTTGTTTGGTCTCTTTCTTTTCCTCTCTCCTTAGAAATAGCTATGCAACTAAATATAAATAATATGTACTAAATATAAAGTATGTGAGGAAACAAGCTGCCAGTAATCCTAATAATTTTGGGCCTATTTGTTAGACCCTACCATAACATGATGTATTGCCCTGCCAGTTCTAACAATAGTATGCTCCCTTACCCTCCCTGCATCCTTCTCTTGCTGCCAGCCTCTAGGTTAGGCACTCTGGGAAAGGCAGGCAGCCTACTGTTGAGTAGCTCTCTACCTTGTCTCTCCTTTCAGGGCCAATGGCCCAATGCCGTCTCACTATTGGAGACTGGTGTTGACATCTGTTGTGTGTGGGGCCCGGCCCTGCATCCCACCTGGTGTCTGCCTTTCTCTATTGCTCATGTGCATGGTCAAGTTTGGGCCAGTCACTGCACTCAGAGTTCTTAGTGAGACCAAACACAGCACCAAGGAATTGGACTTCTGTTGAGGCAGATCACTGAAGAAGTTGTCTGTGGCTGGGCTAGGGCACCCTTCAGGAACATAGGCACAAACTGTACATGTGTTGTTGACAAGACAGAGGACAGTGTTCTCACTTAAAGCTTCAAAGACAGGGTAAGCCCATGCTCACAGCTTCTCCCAGCTCTCCCTTCACATTCTAGCCCAGGGGTTGGCAGACTTTGACTGGTGGGCCAGATTCAGCCTGCTGACTATTTTTGTACAGGTCATGATCTAAGAATGGCTTTGACACTTTAAAATGGTTAAAAAAATATATTTTAAGATTGTGACATATAAAAATTATATGACATTTTAATATCATAAATAGTTTTATTGGAGCACACTTTGTGTATTGTGTATGGCTCCTTTTACTATGATACAATGGCAGTGATGAGTAGCTGGGAAAGAAACTTTCTGGTTCCCAAAGCCTAACTTATTTGCTATTTGGCCCTTTGCAGAAATGTTTGCCAACCCCTGTTCTAGATCCACACATATACACTTCACTTAACTAACTTGAATTTAATGTTTTCAGGTGCTGTGTCACCTGTTTGTCTACCTGAATGCTCTCCTAACCTTTCAAACTGAACTTATTTAAAACTAAATTGACACACTCTCCAAATGAGCCCTTCCTCTTGACTGTTTCTGTTAAGGTACCAACAGTCTCCTTGTCCAGGGTTTCTTACCCTCACCACCTCTGATATTTGGAGCAAGATCATTCTTTACAGTGGGGGCTCCCCTGAGCACCACGGGGTATTTGGCAGCATCTCTCGTCTCTACCCATTGGATGCCCCGCACTCCAAACTGCAACACCCAAAAACATCGCCAGACCTTGCCAACTGTCCCTGAGGGACACTTTCACCCCACATTCATCCCGGGTTGAAAACCACTCTTCCAGACCATCATACTTGAAATTGGACTTATTTAGCTCTTTTGCCCCTTCTTACCCTCAACTTGTAATTGGTTGTCAAGTCCCGTCAATTCCGTCGCGGGAAAGGTCGCATTTGGGATTGCATTCCCATTCCTATCATGCTGGTCCCAGGGTGTCGCGACTCCTAACAATGACAGGAGTCATGTTAGGACTATGCAATGTATGTGACACTAAGTTGTAAGATAAACCACTCTCACTTATTGGATGCTTCGTATGTACAGGATACTCTAAAAATAGTAACAATTTTCTAGAACGTACCTTTTCAACCTACATCCATTAGGTTCCAGATAACCTGGACTACTTACTCTTCTAACTTTTTTTCTTTTTCCATCTTAGCCCATGTCACTGTCCTCTGCTTCAAGTTCCTTTACTCTACCCCTGTCCTTTTCTGTTTCTAATCTGTTCAGGCACTGATTCAGGAGTCCTGAGCAGGGAGGAGAATTAAAGTAGGAAAAGGCTTTTTGAATGTAGTAGCAGGTAGCCTGGACCCTGAAGGAAGGAAAGGAATGGGCATTGAGTGTGCACTCACTAGATGCTTCTCTCTAGACCCCCTGCTAGGGATTCCTGCAGGCCCTAGTAATTCACAAGGCAGGTGACGCTATTCCCAAGAAGGAGGCTCTGTGTGCAAAGCGGTTAAATAAACTGCCCTGGGCTATCCAGCTAGCACCTGGTCTGGCTGGAGCCAAACTGGGTCATTGCCTCCTTCTGCCACCTCCCCTGTGGGATTTTATTGTTTCTTCATTTTACTGAACCTTCCATTTAAAATGTTCAATCCACGTTAAAGTTTTGAATTAGAATGAGAATTTATTTGCTATAGTTTTTCTGATGGAAATGCCCATTATTTAGAATTTGTATAGTGTGGATCACTGGCAAGTTAGTGAGAGGGTCAAGACTTTCCGAAGCAGATTACTATTTGTTTACTTGGTTCAAGTACCTATGCTCTGTTAATTCTCCTGTTTCTCATTATTGTCAGCAAATATTAGAAGCCTCTTTCATTATAAGGTTTTAAGTTTCCATTGACACTTTGAAATTTCATGTGGGTTGCAAAGGATATGAGAGCCAGCTGCTGTAAAACCTTGCAATTTTTAAAAGCTGATCACAGGGAATTCATTTATTAAGGAAAGTTCTGGATAAAACAACTATGGTATATTTACACAATGAAATACTACTCGGCTGTAAAAACGAGTAACATCTTATCCATGGCAACAGCATGGATGAACCTGGAGAACATGTGAAATGAAATAAGCCAGTCAGAGAAAGACAAGTGCCATATGATTTCACTCATATGTGGAATCTAATGAACAAAATGAACTAACAAGCAAAATAGAGACAAACTCATAGATGGAGAGCAGGCTGACAGCTCTGGGGAGGGGTGGAGTGGGGAGGGATCAAGTGAAAAGAAAAAGGGCTCATGGACATGGACAACAGTGTGGGGATTGCTGGGGGGAGGGGGGATAAGGGGGATAAGTGGTAAGGGAAAAATACAATAAAAATAAACTATTATTTTTTTTTTTAAAAGAAATGCCTCGGCTCTCAACCCAGACCTACGGAATCCACATGTTAGTGAGATCCCCAGGCTGTGTATTTATAAGCATATTAAAGGCGAAGGAGCTGTACCACTTGTTTAACACACACACACACACACACACACACACACACACACACACACACACAGAAAAATTCCCCAGAAGATTTGGATCTTAGCTACCACTTAGAAGCATATCCACAAATCCCTATATTACTAATAGCAATTCTAAAAGGAACAATAAAGCTTGAGATTACTACAATGACAGAATTTGGTTCAAAGCAATTAAGAGCATTATGTAAATGACTTTGTCTGGTTGATAGAATGTCATCAAAATAAAAAACTTTAGTCTCTTTCCTCATATTGGCATACGGTTTTTTTGTTTGTTTGTTTTTATAAAGTGATTCAGAGCAATGATCCAGTCATTTAAACATTTTGTCCTTGACTATAACATGATGCATTGCTTAGCTTCTGTCTGTAGTGGTACAAAAACACAATAATGGTCTGCTTCTTCCAAAGACATCCCTAGATGCTATGCTGTAAGATTCATTGCATCTTAAATTTAAAGCTACATTGCTTAGTTCCTTTTCTAAGGGTGGACAATTTCTATGTTTCTTGAGGGGACACATTCCTGAGAGAAGGTGGCATTCCCCTCACCAAGCTTTCATTCCTGAGTGTCCCTCTAATTAAACGAGGTTTCTTCCTACATGTGAGGTAGAGGATTTCTATACCAGACTTTTTGGGACTCAGAGCTGTCCAGTAGAACTTGCTGCAATGATAGAATGTTCTGTTCTGTTTTGTTCGATATGGTAGCCACTAATCATATGTAGCTATTGAGTATTGAAACATACTCAGTTAATTTGAATGAATTTAAATAGCCCACGTGTGGCTGTGGGCTACCATTTTGTAGAGTAAACCTTTAAATAACCTAGAGGAGTGGACATTTCCAATTAATTGTCATGTACATTACATCTAGGAAAACTTGAATTGCTCATATAGGGGATTCTTACCACTCTTAGTATGAAAATAGCTTCATTTCCCCCCTCCCCAAGTAATATATGCTCATTGTAAAGCTTCACGCAATACAGAAAAGTACAAAGAAGAGAAAGTCCTAAAAACCTTGGACTCTTTGCCACCTTGAGCCATAACCACCATGAACAAGTTGAAAGGCTATCCTTTCATCACTCACAGACCATTCATCACAAGGGATAAGTCACTGGCATAGGCTGAGCTATGAGTTCAGTTTCATGGAGCTCCCTATGATTAATACCCAACGTAAATCTGTGACTAGAAAAGCAGTTGTACTTGCTGCATTCCCAAGGGACCCTTACCTCGGGAAAGGAGACCTTGCAGAAAATGATCTGAAGCCATCTGAGAGAAAGGATGACCTATAGGTAGTCAAGTGTGAGAGATACCATGGAAACGGGCCCAACGTCGGTCTATGAAGGGCCTTCGAAAAGCAGGCAGATTTTGGGAAAGCACAACTAATTCATCTCCCCATTCAGAATTTTTTGCTTAATCTTGCTCATTCTAATACCAATTTCCAAAAATAAAATGTTGAATTTCTTACGAAGTGAGATGCCTTTTGAATTTGAAATTCTGCTGTGACGATGGACTATGAAAGTACCTGGCTATGAGCATGACAAGTTAAATAACCATCTCACCATTGAATGAGTTTCTGATTCAAAGATATGACCTTCCAAGTATTTCTCGGGTTTGCTTCAATCATATTATGGTTGTTCTCATTTCAGATCACCCCTATTTTGTTGGTGTCCAATTCCATCCTGAGTTTTCTTCTAGGCCGATGAAGCCTTCCCCTCCATACCTGGGACTATTACTTGCAGCAACTGGGAACCTGAATGCCTTCCTGCAACAAGGATGCAGACTGTCCTCCAGGTAACCAGCTCACTGCTCTTACCAATGGCCCAACATGCAGTTATCAGCGCCTTGGGTTTCTCATAAAATGTAATATCGTAGGATTTCTTTTCACAGTGAAGAATCATTTTTTCCTTCTTAACCATAGTGACTTTTTCTCTTGATAAAAATGATTTAATCATATCTGCAAAAGTAACCTGTCAGTTTTCCAAGTCATGCTAATGGTGGGAATTATTTTAGATTTTTTTTTTTTTGTCATTTTGATAAGTGAAAAATAGGATTTTCTTTTCTGGAGTCTTTGATTAACAAATATATATGAATATTTTATTGGCTTTTTGTTTTATGAATTGCCTGTTCATATGCTTTGCCCTACCTTTCCTTTTGCTATTATATTCTTTTATTTAATGATTGGTAAGCTCTTTATATATAAAGAACATTAATCCTTTGTTAGGTTGCAAATATTTTTTTCAAAGTGATTTCGTTTTCTTCCACGTTGTCAATGGTAGTTTTAATTTTCTTTAAAGAGTTTTAAATAAGGACTTCACATAGTTCTTATTTATGTATATGTTTTTTATTTATATAGCCAAATCTTTTATTTTTATGAATTCTGCCTTTAATGTCATGTGTAAAGTCTTTCCTTACCAAAGATTATATAAATAATAACCCACTTTTTTCCACTAGCACTTTTATGTTTTAAATTTTAAATAATAGTTTAAATCTATATAAACTTTATTTTTGGTGTAGTGTGTGAGGTAGGGATCTGGCTCCCCTCCCACTACCCCCCACCCCAGATGTTAGTAAGCTGAATAATTTAGATTTGTTTCAGGGATTTTTTTGCTTTGTTCCATTAATGATTTCATGTCTTGTTTCTGAACCGTTACAACCCTTTTCATTATCATACGATTATTGTAAATCAAGCTCTTATATACTGTACTCTCATTATTATTTAACATTTTTAAAAAAGTATTTTGCTGCTCTTCCAGATGAACTGTACAAAGATTTTATAAATCAGGTTTGAACTTAAAAATCCCTTATGGATTTCCATTAAAATTTCTTTATATTTCAATATTAATTTGGGGAGAATTAATATTTTCCTTTTTCTCATCCAAGAATATAACGTGTAATAACTTTAAAAGTGGAAGGAACTAGCCAGAATTATAGACCATACCTAGGGTCAGTATCATAACTGGATATGTGTTATTTAGAAGATTACCATTGATGACCCTCATCCTAGCAAACAACCCTTGTGATATTGCAGTTGAGGACCGCTGGGATCAGTGCTTGGTGCGTATGTGTGTGTTTGTGCTAATGCAAGCCTGCTTATTTGTGACATTACCTGCTAAGAGAAGCTAACAGTTCCATAGCATTTCCTTTGACTGTGTGTTCATATGGGAACAGCTTTATATATTTTGCGTGCCAGGCGTCTTACTGAATTAATGTTCACTCCTTGCACCCTTGAACTAGTGTACTCATTTTTATGCTGTGCCTTATGGAGCTGGAGTCCATCCTGCTGTGAGGAGCAGGCTCCTTCCTGTGCTCTGAGCTGCGTGGCTTATGCAGCAGATTGGAGATGCCAAAGTGTTCCCATGTTGAATATGTGCTGTGACCCTTCTCGGACACTTTACTGTCTCCACTATTTCAGTGATCACACGTGAAAGGAGAGTAACAGTGGAGCAGGTTAGATGGCTGGGGGAAATAGCTCACACTTAATAATTCATGCTTAACTATTTGACTGTTTGCAAACATCAACTAATGTTCAAATGGTATCTGGGTATGTGGCCTGCCGCCCGTGTGCTGGACGACCTGCTGATTCCGCATGGGGCTGCTGTGGTCTCTGGGTAAAGCTCACTGGTAGTTTCTGAGAAAAGCGACTGCTTGCTAGTGACTCCTGAGCAAAACACAGTATGTCTTGGAGAGAAGGAAAAGCTTAACAAAACTTCGATGCTGACATTGGAATTACAACTGATGACACATTTCCATGGCTCTCAGAAAATCCCCATGTGTTAGCCACACACCGGTGCATTCCTTAAGAGCAGCCAGCATCTTATTTATCTCTGTCTCCCTGACTCCCTAGCACACAGGGGTTTTTTTCGTTTTATTACCCATTAAAGTAATAAATGTAGATAGCAGGGAGGATGGATACAGTCTAGTCTAATCTTGACACACTTTGCCAGGGTTTGTTTCAACTGAGAATGGTGACCGTGAATTAATCCAGTGATAGACGCCAGGGTTGCAGGGGAACATTGCAGTTCAACTCCTCTGTGCCCAGCCTCATGGCACTAGTGAGCACTGAACAGCAAATTATGGCTTTGAGGGCCAGCTCTGGTGGGAGCTGAGCTAGGACTGTATTTCTGTCAAACAAGATTACTGTCTGTTATCAATCCTAAACAAATGTGACAAGGAATATGAACTCTAGAATAATGACTTCCTTTCCCAGAAACTGGCTGATGATATTTAACTGTATGGCACCCATGCAGCCAACATTTTGAAAGTCCAGAATGTTACAGTCCTTGGTTTTGAGCAAATCCATCTGAGCTATAACCTCTGCAACCTGCCTTGTGGAGAACTTTTATGTTTTAGTGCCCAGGAAGTTGCAATAGGATATCATTTTGGAATCTAGAGTTTGTGAGCTAAATTTTCAGTTACTCCACTATGTGTAGAATGACAGCAATTATGAAAACAATTCCACCTAGTTTTAGACTTTAGCAGTCTATTGAAGATGCATGATGGTTTCAGGATAGTATTGTTTGGGATTATACGTTCATCAGAAGTTATATGTAAAATCAAACTAAGAGTCTGGGTTTTGCAGGTCTCCCAAGACTACCCATACATTCAATGGTTCACTGGAAGGAATCAGAATATAGCTGTACTCATGGCTAAAGTTCATTACAGTGATGGAATGAGCATACATAGCTAGTAAAGTGGAAAGGCATAAGTGGAGTCTGGAGAAATCAGTTTGCAGGTTTCCCATGCTCTCTCTCTCTCTTGTGAGCGGTCACACAGAGCTCACCCTCCCTCTGGCCATGAAAGCGCAGCAACATGTGTGTGATGTGTATGCCCAGAGAAGCCCATTTGAGACTCAGAGTTCAGAGTTTTTAATGAGAGCTGGTCACACAGGCTTTTTCTTCCTAGCAGCCACTCCAATTCCAGAATCCCAAAAAGAAGGCAAATGTTTACCATAAATCACATTGTTGGTATAGGCAGCCTGAGCCCAGTAAAATGACCTTATCAGTTTGTACTGAAGAAAACATTCTGAAAGCTAAGTTCCCAAGTTCCCCTGCAAGCAGACCCTTCTAGAGATAGCAGCCTCAGGCCTGCTACGTTAACTCTTTTGCACAAATCTAATAAACTATTTTTAGACTAAATAAACCCAATGGGAAATGATGGTCCATTAAAGAAATCATTGTAATTCTTTGCTGATATCTCTCCCCTGGTGTCTAAACATAATTTGCCCCATGTATAAAATGTAACCACAAATTTGCATGGTCTTGTTAGCATGTGATGTAATGGAATGAGACAATTTCATGTAATTATAAGAAAAACATTTTAGGAGATATACTAAATATAGAAAATGTGGGAAAAGTAGGTTTACAGTTGTGAGTATGCAAAACAGAGTTTATTTTTGTATTATTATTTATTTATTATTGTATTATTTTCCATACAACTGTAAGCCTACGTTTGCCCCACCCTGTAATAAAAGGCGCTTGTCATTGTGAGTTCTTTAGCATCTAGAAACGAGCACATAATCTCTGTCCAGAATTCCATTTTAAGCAACTGGAAATAGAAGGAGGGACCAGAGGCTAAAGTTCATAGGTTGTTTTTCAGCCCGTGTGTCCTTGGGACTGCCCTGCAGACTCTTAGGCACGATCACTACGCACCAAGTTTAGAAACAGCTTCCAGTTTTGTAATGCTGGCATTTGTCGTGCCCCTCTGTCACATCACAGTAAAACTCTCTTGCTTAGATGGTACTCGTGCTGTGTCGGATAAGCAAGAACTTAAATGGGGTTCAGTCAGTAGTTCACAGAAATGCAGCTCTTTGGGGACACATGTTTTTAAAGTATAAAATTGACATCTTAAGACATCCGAGTAGCCTTTTATCCTGTATTTTAGGATCTTGGATTCCATGTCTCTGCCCACTGTATACTCTCTCTTGTGCAGAGTAATCGTCTTTTTGTGGTGAATCAGAAGGCAGGCTGGTGCAGAAACAACAGGAAGGAAGTTACTTGTATTTGCTTGACCATTTTGGACCCAACTCAGAAGTTGAAACTACTTTATAGCCAGAGGGTCCTTGAAGGAAGTACATACCCAGAGCCCATTCCATTTCCTGATCTCTTGTGTGCTCCTGAGCTCTAACTTCATTCTCTCCTTAATGCTTACCCTTCTCTTTCGACTTTTAATTTTGCGTCCTGGCAGCAGTCAGGGAGAGAAGGCACCCATTGCATTCACCATTGTCTCTGGTGTCTCTTTGGTGACTATTTGGACTTTTAAGTGACATGCTGGCTTCTAGCCTGGGAATATTTTGTTTTCTGTTGAATTCTAGATACAACATTATAGAAAGTCTGGAAAATGAAAAATAGGACCCATTTCCCTGACTGGTATGGCTTGGCTGGGTGTTGTCCCATTGGGGCACATGCCTAGGTTATGGGTTCAGTTCCTGGTCTGGGCGCATACGAGAAGCAACTGATCGATATTTCTCCCTCACATCAATGTTTCTCTCCTTTTCTTTCTTGCTCCCTTTCCCTCTCTCTAATAAATAAATATTTTAAAAAGAGGACCCATAAACCCACCAGCTTAACACAGTAACTGTACTCATTTTTGAGTATTTCTTTCCAATCTTTATTCTATGTGCATAAATTTCTCTTTTAACAGTTGCAATCATGATAGTGAGTGTATGTGTGTATATATATTTTTTCAACTCTTATTTTGAAAACCTTCAAACTTAGAGAAAAGATGAAAGAATAGTAAAGTGAACAATTTTATATCTTTCACTTAGATTCATCAATTGTTGCCACTTTACCACA